AAAGTAGGAGAACAAAGAACAATTGTTTTTGTTTAAGTTACTCCTAAATACTGTGATCTATGATACAGGATGCAATTATATCTAACTTTTAAAAGTAAATGTAAACCAAGATTTTAAAAGAAGCTATGAGTTTTAGACACATGCAGGTTTCAACAATATCCATGGAACTAATTTCTGATCATTTGATATTGCAGACTTTTTCATTATTGCTAAATATTTCTCCTCTTCCTGAAAAAAAACAGATAAATAGTTTGATTACATACACACGCAAATACAGATGTTCAAAGAGATAAGGAACAATTATTCATTATTCCTCTGTTAGACCAAATCAGTTAATTCATGGAATGCGCTCTGAACTATTTATGGACATACAGACAGAGATTTAATACCCTTAGAATCAGCTATTTCTGCTTTCTTTGATACATAGAGATACAGCATATATAGATAAAATATTAGCATAGTCTATAAAGCAAAATTTAACTGTTTTACACAGAATCACAAAATAGTTGAGGCTGTAAAGCACCTCTGGAGATCACCTAGTTCAAGCTCCCTGTTCAAAGCAGGGTCAGTGAGAGCAGGTTGCCCAGGGTTGTGTCCTCTTGGGTTTTGAACACCTCCAAGGACAGAGACACCACAACCTCTCTGGACAATCTGCAATTTTGCAATACTTGTAAACATGGAAACATTTAAGATTAAAAAGTGCCTTATTTTATAAAGGCAGTTGAACATTAGTAGTGAGCTACATTTTGCACTTCTTGATTGAGCAACTATAAAACATTTCACAGACTGAACAGAGAGCAATACCGACATAGTCCTTGTTATTATGTAAGCTTTTTTTTCCTAACAGCTGATCCACATATGATGTTTATAAATCTAAATAGTTAGCAATTAGAGGGCTTAGTTGTTTAGCATGAGCAGTATATATTATCAGCAGAAGATTACCAGTTCAAACCATGTGGTCAGTCCAAGCAAGTTTCAGTAGACCAGCTCCTCATATTTGGACACAGGTTTACTCAGGCTCCTGAGAAATTACATATGGTGTTGGAAGCTCAAGTCTGGCCCTAGGTTTGAATCTGAACTCATCTCTTCCCACATTATTAAAACTTTCTACCCCAAAATTCTTTTCCCCCAAATTTCACAGATCTTCCAGGATCAACAAAACATGCTGAATGCTCCCCAGGGACCCCAGGTAATTATTTCAAGTACTTTCATTCCTGGACTGATAGAAGCTACTTCTTAATAGTCCCTGACTCCCCACTGTTAAAAGCAGATTTCAAGTTTCACCAGTACTTAGCTTCCATTTCACAAGCTGTCAAATGACTAGTCAAAATGTCAGAAAAAGGAAATCAGTTCTGCAGAGTTTTCTGGTTTTATTTTTATCAGTTAACAGATAATTGGCCTACTTGCGCCTAAAGAAAAATAATAAACGTTAACACTTTACTAGTTGCTAAAAAGAGCCTGGCAATTTTGAACAGCGTTAAGCTGCATGCGTTAAGTATGGCAGTATGATGCAATACAGCAAAATTCCACTGTGAGGGTTTTGGTGAAACGTGGGCCCTTCCTCACTTCTGCAGCATAAGCACTGACCCTCCCTCCAGGAGCAAGCTCTTCGTTTAAGCACTGAGAGCAGCAACTATAACAAATACAGGAGACTTTGAGATATTTATTTGGTACTTACAAAGAGAAACACAATGGCTATACTGTGTCAGAGGAAAGGTATGCTTAGATTTTGATAACATCTCCAACTGTGGTCAATAACAGAGGCATATGGTAGAATATATGAACACAATAGGATTCTTTCTCTCTTTCAATACAGTAGGACTGTAGCATGGGGGTTTTTAAGGGAAAGTATGGTATTAATCTAGCTAAATGTGGATATCTCCATAGCATTTACGAATGTATGAGGTTCCTTCTCTGGATTAATCATTTTGTAATCAGTGGAAAATTATAAACTACTTCTGATTCCAGGTTCTAAATGTCACCATAAAGTAGATACCAAAAAGACTGAGCAAATCATGTGTGTCAGCACACTAGTGGAGCAGGGAGGAGGTCTTGATGTATAAGGCTGATCTGCTGACTGTGGGAGCTGATGTTGCTAAAAATAAGTCATTGCTCACCATCAATGCAGGATGTAGCCGTCCCAATAAAATAAAAGAAAAAAAATGCTAGAAGAAATTATGGATTCGATTATCAGGGCAATTACTAGTTCTTCTTCAGTCAGCAAAGCTGTCATGGAGCAATGTAAATTCTCCTGTTTCCCTGTTTGTTTTTTGTCTACTAAACTGGTGATTTGAAGCATACAAAGTTTTGGAAATGTGAATAACATGTCCTGACTGCCAAAGATCAGTTACAGAATGTGATTGAGTTTTGGGCAAAAAACATTTTCATCACCAGTCTCCTGTGACTTCTTGGTACTTTTTTTTCTCTTTTTGTTGATTAGACTCACATTCCTCCTAAATGTTTTCTTTGGAACATTATTTTTTTCCAGCAAAAGGTATTTAGCAGTTGCTACTTAAGAAAAGAGAAATCAGCTTCTTGCCTAAAAACTCTTTCCTTGGACCCCAGGGCTATCAGTCAGATCAATTAAGTCATGTTTAAATTGCTTTGATTTTAAACATTCATGAATCCACAAGGCAGCCAATAAAAAGAAAATACCCCTATACTGACAGCTTAAATGGATCTCTGTGTGAGCCAAGGCTGTTGAGATTCAATTTCCTTTCAGTCTGCTGCTTTGTTCACCCGTGCTTGGCCTCACTGACCGAGTGAATGACTGCAGCGCCATTGCACTCAGTAGTGAAACTCTCACTAGTGGAAATTAGACTTGATTTCCAAATTGCAGCACTGCAGTGGTACTCAGCTAGGCTCTTCCTGCTGGTCTTTTAAATCAAAGCAAGTTGTTGATGATAGCCTTACTGCTCCCCTGGTAAATTTTCTTCTGAAGCCATGCAAGCAGGATGTGATAGACCTTGGACGGTAGCTGGGTGCATTTTGTCAACAAAGCTCTTTTTTTTCTTTTTTCTTTACAAAAGAATGTTAACCACTTTCTCAAATATCTAAAACTTTCTAGTTTTATTCTTGTTCATTGCCAGTACATAGAAGTGGTGGCTTGGCTCGTCTTACTCAAGAGGTTCGTACCGTCTTACTCAACATGCTATGCCACGATAGCATTATGAAGGCACACATTGATAGGCAAACAAAAATAACTTCAGTTCCTTCCTTTATAGAAGCATTCTAAAGACAGAGTGCATGCTATTATATTTGTATGGCAGAAAATCAGGGGGAGCTGTGTTTATTCATAATTGCTGCTGCTTTATTCCAGAGGAACTGAGCTTAAAACCAGATCTGCTCTAACAAGCAAAAGCAGCATCATACTTTTGAATGATGGCTGGTAAATGAAAGGGGCTAAATTTTAGGAAAAGACAAATCTATTTTGGCAGTAAGCAGCTGGCTTTACTGCCTTCTGAGCATCACTTTTTAGTCATTCTGCACAGTCTGTATTTCTGTAAATTGCTGCAGACAAAATGATAAATTCTTATTGAGAAAAGTTATGAGCAAATCTGATATTTCAAATCCTAAGTCATGGAATCCTGGGGAAATTTTTGTAATATGAACTTATAGTCTTTATTTCTCATATTCTTTCATTGTCAAATAATTTCATCTGCTTTATTCCATGAACAATTCTCATTATATTTTATTTAGCAGCTTGTTTTCCTATAAGTTTATCTCCACATTTCACTTCATTATTTTTCCCATTTGTTATATGCAACAGCACAGGATTTTGAAATAAAAATATGACCCAGTTGAAGACTTGGTTGTATCTGTGTAAGTGGTAGCAAGCTAAGTGTTTGTGGTTTTCCTTGCTGTGTGGGTGATGTGGTTTTCAGATGTTTTGTAATACATTGCTTTTAGAGGACTATTAAGAATTCAGTATCTTGTCCCATTAAGCAATTTTTTCCTCTAGAGCCTGAGGCTTGGATTTTGACATTTGTACATGAGTGAGAATCATAGAATCATAGACTCAGAGAAGTTAATCTCTTTGGACTCGTCCTTATGACTAACTACTTCAAAATATGAATGCAGCTCTCAAAACTTGAGTTGTAACTCCCAGATATGAATCTACAGTTTGCTTTTTGTAAGCATTTTACTGTAACCAAAAGATTTCTCATCTTATCAGAATACACCTCACATGATTTATAGAGACTCTGCAAATACTGAGCATAAAACTTCCTTATAGTGATACCTTCCTCCATATCAAGTCTCCTGGCTCAGTCCTGGGATACCTGGAAGACACAAGAGATTAGATCAGTAAACAGTATTTTTCAGCCTGTTTATCATAGCTCTGTTCCTATCTTCCACAATGAATTTTGTTTAGCTGTTTTGACACTTTTTCATAAGAGAAGATATGGAAGAAGAATTTAAACCTGAGTATTTCCAGGCTGATGTTTGAAATGTGGAGGTACATTTTTCATTTAAAATCAATTTGCCCAACTGCCTTCATCTTGTTGTGTTTTCTTAAGTGACAAAGTAAAGAAAATGTATTTTAATTACCAAATTACATTCACAAATTTAGTCCCATTTTGAGGCTCAGCTTCTTAACAGCAAAGTGCCACTGTATGGAACAGTTATCTTCCAAGACCATGGCTGGCCAGGAAATGTCTGATATATAAAATGTTTGGTTCCTTGCCATGTTGGTAAGTGTGCATGTTTTTGATATTGCAAAAGTTTTTCAGTATCATGCAACCCCGACTGTGAAGAGTGCATGTATAGTTTGAATCAGAAAGGAATTAATCTCCTGACTTGTTTCAACAGGTAAGTTATAGCTGATGGGACAATAACATTCAACAGTCTAATCTGTGTGAAGTGAAAGGTCTTTGCTAATGTGTTGTGCCATTTAAACAACATTCACTGAATGTCACATCAAATCTTCTTGTCAAAGCAGTCTATCTGATGCCTTTGTCAAAATCTGAGCACTTGACCTCATGCTGCTTTTGCCTTCTTAGGAATGCAGGTGCTGGAATGGAATGGCATCCCCTTGACTGGGAAAACTTATGAAGAAGTCCAGAGCATTATTATTCAACAGAGTGGGGAAGCAGAAATATGTGTAAGACTGTGAGTTTTTCCCCATCTTTCTGTTTCCATTTTTTTTGGCTTTTCATGGCTTTCTTTTTTTTTTTTTTTTAAATTTACAGTTGTTAAGGTGGAACCTTTGTTAGCATGAAGCATCAATGTAATAATTAGCAAGAGTTCACTGTGAGTGTGGGAGGTCTGTTTGTTCTTTTTTCTTTCTAAAGTCATAAGAAAAGATGATCTGAGGCAGATGTTAGTAATTATGCTTTTATAAACAATGATATCTCCATTGTCGGGCCACAATCTCCTCTCATTGGTACACATACAATTCACTGAATTTACTGGGGTTAGAGAAAGATGATAATTTAGCACTAACTTGACTTTTACTGAAATCTGTATCCTTTAGATAAAAGTCATTTAAGCATCACGAGAAATGTATAAACTTACATTCAATCCATTAAAGATTTCACCTTAAAAGAACCTTTTCTTCTCAGCTCTTTGACAGCATTGCAAATACAAACAGCTAAGAAGGGGCCATGCTTGGGAGCTGCTTTCTGTCATGAACCACTATTCATTTATCTACTTAATATAATAATGAGGGTATGAGGAAAGAGTTTCTTTTGTCTCAGGCTTCTCATCGCTTTCTTTAGGGACCTGAACATGCTCTCAGACTCTGAGAATCCCCAGCACCTGGAGTTGCATGAGCCAGTGAAGGCAGGTAAGCGACAAGCTGTTGCTTTGATACTGTAGGACCGGATAGCAGCTGAAAATTGGATGTGATGTAAGCTAGGATATTACCATTGTAAGCTCAGGTGTTACATCCCAAATCTTGCTGTAGGCAGAAAGGGGACCACACCTTATATACAAAGCCGAGCATTTATTGTTGGTTGTTACTATTAGCCCAGTTCAATCCATACTGACACAGTCTACACTGTCTAATTAATACAAAGGAAATCTCAGTAACAATACGGCAGCTAACATTTGTTATCCAGGGGAAACCTCCCGCTAGCTACCCCTTCATCTATACATGCCACAGAAAACTGTGGCGTAATGGTCCCCCTTCAGCGGCCGCGGGCAGAGCTTTCACTCCAGGGACATTGCAGCAAGTCGACAATGTCCTGAGGAATTTGCTGGGAGAGTGTGATGTTTGTGGAGAGAGTTTTTGACTCCTCCTTGCTGGGAGGTGGATGATGTTGATGATTCCTTCCTCTTCACTTCAGGATCTGCTTGGGGCCTTTTTTAGCTTTTCTAGCATGCCTTGCTCTTTCCTCACTGGTCAGCAGCTCTGCGTTGCATAAGACTTCACTGGATATTGTACACTTCACATGTGATATATTCTTGTTCTTTGTTCCTTCTGTTGCCCCTAAAATTTATTTTGCCCAGGTCCTGAAGTTGCATCAATGCCAGTAACTGACCAGCAAGTTGCTGGTATCCCTGGGGCCTCAGCTATCGTTGTGTGCCCAAACCTTGCTGTCACCCCAGGCCCGTGCTTCTATAAGCTGCATTATTAATCTGGAGTCAGAAATATTTCAGTCTACACAGTGCGATTAGTGTTGTGCCTTTATATATCAAAATTATGAAGAATGGGCATTATACCATACAATTATACAAGGTGAAACATAATTCAGACAAATTAAGGTTATAGCCATCTTGTCATTAGACAGTTGTTGTTGCAGCCAGACCAGCTAAAATAAAGCTCCTAGCAAACTGGAGCAAGTCTGAATAACACACAACAAGCCCTAAGGCCTATGTTAGCATGATACAAGGCTTGTGGCCTCTCATTAGTAATGAAAATATAGTATTTACTAGGATACAGGGATGCAATAGGAAGTAGTTTGTGTGACGTTTTGTTATGTGACTCCTAAGATGGCAGTGCTTTTGTGGGGGGATTCCCTTCTATTCAATCAATACCATGACTGCAAACTCCAGTCATGGTATTAGTCATATCTAATCTAACATTAAACCAATATCCACAACCCTGCTTGTAATGTAGCCCTTCAGCAAGCTGAGTGCAGACTAAAAGTGTTTCACTCAGCATCTCATGGGTCCATTCTGAATTCTGTGGTTTTGTGGCTACTCTTTTATCAATCAGTACACAAGTTACCTGGATTAAATCCTCTGTTTTCTGACCATGTAACTCTTCCCATCTGTTAATATACTTACCATCAAGCTACCTTTTGTTGAAAATGGATGTTATTGATATTAACTGAAAGCAAACACTGAGTCTGACAGAGCTTTGAGGCAGAGCTACCCACAATTTTTTTTTGTAGTGAGCAGATCAAAAACACCAAAGGCATTCATAGCCACTGAAATTGGGTTTTGAAAGGATTAAAGCTAGAATGAAAAATATTCTTTATTAATGGAGAAAACTCAAAATGAGAAAGAACAGAAATAAAACTAAATTATCCCATTCTTGCAGGCATGCTTCCTCCTAGTCTAGCAATCTTCTAGTAGTTTCTTAGTTGGAACAACCTGTAGAGTCCCTTCTGGCTGCCAAGCCAAGTCTTTCTTGCCATCACCTCTGAGATTTTGCAGACTGCTTTGGAAAGAATAAGGCTAATGTATTGCCTTAAACCTCTCATACTTCTGAGAACCTGGGAAGCAAGCTGAGCCTAGTATCCTTTGAACTCTATGCATTTTAAGGCACACATGAAACTTACTTGATCTCATTTCTCTAATAAAAGGAGATTGCCATCTATAAAAGGTAAATTCTCCTCACTCCTTCCTGGGCAGCAGGGAGGGCAAGCAGACTCCTACCACAGATGCCTCACATAGGTGTGTGTAATAAGGAAAGATGAATCAGGGCTTTTACTCTTCATTTGATCTCATTTTATTCTGCTTTGTTTAATTTGCAGTGCTAAAGTTTTGAGCTCCTTTTCTCTTTATTTTTACATAAATTATCTCAGGAGCAGAATTCAGTTTTATTGAATGTCCAGATGATGAAAAAAAAAAAAAGTTGAAATTAAAGCTTGTTGCAACAAAGTTCAGATACTTGGTGAAACTGGACCAGTTCCAAGCAGTGCAAGTTAGCATAGGCCAGTCTTTAAAACTGTAATTTGCTCCAGGATGATTCAGTGTGATCAGCAAGGCCTGTTTTTCTTCAGCTAGAGAATAACCTTCTCAGAAAACTTGTGAGATGAGTAACAGTGGTTGACAGCATGTTGAGTAGAAAGATTGGAATTGGGATGTTGATGTTGTGGGGGAGATGTCTATTTTTTATAGGTTGCCTTTTGCATCTTCAAAGTATACCAGCAGATGATATGAAAATTTGTAAAGATCATTATCTTGTCCCTGTACCATGGCAAGATGGATCTGAATGTGGTAGCAATTACCAATATAAAGCTGTCTTACTTTAATCCAGTAGATAAAGCCAAGTCCCCAGGGGTTGATCCCAAGCAGCTTGCTGCAGAGCTCCAAAAGGTTTCTCTACAGCAGTCACCTCTAGTTGCTTCCTCGGGAGTGGAAAAGGGATCTCATGTTCACTCTGGAACCACTTCTGCCACCTCCAGCGCTGTTCCCAGCCCTGGTCAGCCTGGTTCTCCCTCTGTGAGTAAAAAGCGGCACAGCAGCAAGGTAAGAAACTTCTTAGTTATGCAGCAAAAACATTCTGATGACAAGAAGAAACTGACTATTTATCTTCTTTAATGTAGCAAGAAATCACAGCACATATTGATGAATTCATTTCCATACAAGTGTTGAGTATTACTGTTCAGCTGTAGAATTTGGAAACAAGGAAAGGAAATTATGTGATTTATCCAAGGTTATAAAAGGTTGGGCCCTCTCTGAAAATAGATTTCATGAACTTAATATTATTGTTTTTAAACAAAATAATTGCTCTTTTCAGTCTTTGTTGCTGTTGCTTTTAAAGTGCATCCTACATGATGTTGAGATACTAGTTCCACAGAGGAAGCTGATATTGCTAAGACCATAATTTCCCTCTCTGTACTAAGCTACTGTTTGAAGTGTTACAAGCTGTGAATAATCATAGCAATACTAAGCATTTCTCTGAAAGCCAAGGAAAGAATGAAAAATAAATTTACCATCAAAATGTGTTTTGTCACTAGCTAATTCCTGTGAACTTGTTAAGCACAGTTTCTCATTTTCTTTGCCACATCCTGTCCATTTCTCAGCTGAACTTTTTTCTCCTTGTGCACCCACCTGCACACCTGGAAGGGCAGAGTGGGAATTTGGTAGCATTTTTTCACAGCTGAAGCTGGAAACTAGATCATAAAGTCATCTGTCACATTTTTGCATTTTGTGTCAAAAAAGTTAACACCTGAAGTGAAAATCAATCCTGTGAAGACTGCATTTGCTTAAGCAATTTGCAAGACAGCTAAACCTGATTGCTATCCTGAATACTCAGTTTCTCACTGTCTTACTATTGGAAGCAAAGCGTCACATTGCAAACAAGGTGCTTTCTATGTGTTTATTTCTCTGCATTTTTATTACTTCTTGGGACTGTCAGGTTCCTACTGCATTATTGTTATGTTTGTATTTTTGTGCTGTTGAAGCTATGGCTGTGATTTGGACTACAAAAGTGTTAGGTACTGTACAAACAAAAACCAGAAATGGTGCCTGCTGATTTCAGATAGCTCTTCAATACGCTTACATAACTTTCATGTGAGAGGAAACACAAAAAATGTCTCTTTCATCCAGCAATTTAGCAAAAACTGTAAATGTCCTTGTTGGTCAGTTTGTTTTGGATAGTAATTCTGCCTGGCCACAATTCCCATAGCCTTTAATGAACTAATTCAGGTCTATGATGCACAAATTAAATCCATAATCCAAGATTTACTGCACCTAACTTCAGGGATGTGGCAGAATTGCCTAATCATCAGGTGAATAGTTGGTTTCATTACACCTTACTCTGAATATTATGTACATCTACATATGAACTAGTTTGCCCTGTGCTTTATGTGTACTAGTGAGAATAATGCACTTCTGAAATACAATTCCTGAGACTGGATGAAACCTGGCGTTGAAGTGCATGCACTGCATGGGAAGGAGAGGGCAGGGCTCTTAGTGCAGGTGTCGCTTCAGTGTCTACACTGAAACCCCTTTCATTTGGTTAGATGAATCACATTCCTAAATCCACTGCATAGTATATGGAGATCCATAAATCCTTGGTGTACAGTGTATCCTGGAGAAGTGCCCCTCTCTGTCCACATGAGAAGACTGGCACTGTAGCAGGTCACCTAAAGTTAGATGCATAAATTTAATCTCCTGCTTCACAGAGGATTTAGTAATCTTTTATGCAAATTCAGCTGAAGGCTTATAAAGATGAAACAAAAAATTATTAAAACTAATGCCTTTATGTAGGGGATGCAAAAGTCAAAACTAATCAGGCAAATATTTTAAATATTCTTTGCTTATTTCTGAAAATCATGTTGGGAGGCATTTCCTTCATAACAACCGTAGCTTTTGTTGACTTGTATAGTTTCTGTTCATTGACTGCAGGCCAAGTTTATAATGGTGTTGAGCTCTGTTAGAAGAGAAAGCTACTGCTCATCCTTTCTGGAACTGCTCTTTGCCTTGGGCTGACAGCATTTCTAGGCAGGCTGTAGCCTTGCCAAAGTATCATGAAAGACTAAATATCCAAACTGCCTAGATCTTGTTTTTGCGACTGTTCTTATTTTTAGCAAGCAAAATCTTTCTTTTTTTTTTTTTTAAGCTTTTTGTACAGCATATACACTCCATAAATGTTGTAGGATTCTCTTTGATATTCTGCAGTGCCGATTCTCTCATATTTAGTGCTTTGTCCCATTACTACAGAAAGTGATAGTGCGTAGCATCAGAGCCTGGCATTAACAAGTTTCACATGGTAATGACAACCTTCTCCAGCAGGTGTGATGGCATTTACAAAGCACCGGCTCTTACACAGGGTGTGTGAGTGCATGCAGGAAGTATCAAAAGAAATCAAATTGAAATTAGATTAGCCACCACAAGAGAGATTTAACCTTTGGGAGCCTTGAGCTGACTATATCCTGTGCAGACCTGTTTCTTTTGTAATGTAAATGCATGATCATTCTACAGTGCAGATTACATCCAGGTTATAAATGCCCTATAGAAACATTTAGTTGTCTTTGTGTCTTGAAGAATGGGTTGTTCTTCTAAATCCTCAGATCCTTTAGCTCCTAGAGAAGTCAGCAGTGAAATACTTTTCCTTCTTTTCAAATTAATCCTCACTGAGGCCCTGATAAAAAGAAAGATATTTATTTGCATCTCTGCCTTTCAATCCACATCCAACTTCAAAGTTGGCCCAGCTCTGAGCTGGGGGTTAGACCAGGTGACCTTGAAAGGTCTCTTTGAGCCTAAATTATTCATGTTTCTTTGAAATATTTGGGTAGTTCTTCATGATCAGTTTTAAATCAGCTGACATCAGAGAAAACCCCAGATATTTAATATGCTGAATCACAGCCTTTTGTATGAATACAGAGATTTAACAATGATACAGAAACACAAAAATGCACATTTATTTTTACAGACAAGTAGATAAAAGCAAAGTAACTGCACGGCTAAAGGGAACTCCACTTAAACCACCTTTGGAAGTCCCCACACAAATTCAGCATGCCCATTTCTTTTTCTCTGCACTCCTTCTACAGTATCTGTACTAATACATTCTGTATTACATATTTGGAGTGAACAAACTCATTATTTTTACTATTCAAACTTCTGAAAAATTAGAGCATTTAGACTAGCCAGCACTGATTTTGTAGCCACAGCACAGCTAACTCCATGTTATTTTGTAGCATTGTCAGTATTGTCACTGCTAGTACAGACTGAGGTCAGAACTATTAAAGTATAATAAAATCCATTTCCAGAGGTAAGGTATGAGAAATGTAAGCCATTTAAGCCCTACTTTGAAAGTCTGCATGATGCTCAGGTAGGTCTCTGTCTTTGGCAAAAGACGTGAAATTCTCTTTTTGAATGTTCTTTCAAGGACCCAACAAGTTTTCGGAGTAGTTTGCTATCAATCTAAAATATCATTTAAGATTCAGAACATTTTATAAACTATTGATGACCTATTTTAGCTGTTAGAGGGATTACACTTATTTAAAAGCTTTGTAAGGTACCAAGAAAAGCTGATTTAAAAATTTTCCATGAGAACTATTTTTGAGAGGCACACGCATCTCAAGAAAAATCAACACTTTTTTTCTGAAAAAAGCTTGTGTTCATAAAGAAACAAATCTAGAAGGCAAGGTAAAGCCTGTAAAACAAACAAAAATAAGGCACCACAAGACAGTGAATATAACTATATAATAGGCAGGTTTGGGCTGTTTTTCTCCCATGTTTTCATTGCACTAGTTTGGCTGAGATTTTTCTGGCTAGCTCCAGTCTGCATATCTGAGTGATTGAAGGGATGTTTCTTCATCACAAACTTGAAAAGGGTAGTGCATCACCTTAACTTCATGCTCTGGTCCAGGAGATAAGGGGTCTGCATTGGCCTAATTTAAAACCATTCATATCCAACATCCTGAGAAAATGTCTAAGGGTTCTTCTGGAGGGTAGGGCAGCACAAAAAAGGCAGATGAGTTTTACTCTACTCAGAAAGTGAAAGAAATCCTAATTACACAGAATAATAGGTCGGGCTGCTGGTCATGTCTGGAAGAATAGGAAAAGATGATTTCCAGACCAGTCTTCAGAGACCAGTAGGTTTGTCCTTGTTTGCATCCTTTGTTTTCTGCTGCATCAACCAAGGAAGCAGCTGTGGAGAGAATGCAAAAATATTCAAATCCTGCTACTGAACCAGAGAGAGTTTTCTTGCTTGACTGATGGCTTGCAGATTAGAGGTAGGTCCAGGCTGGCTCAAGGGCACCACCGTTTAACAGAACAGCATATTTTTGAGAGTCCAGGATTTGAAGCAAATGGTGCTATTAATTTCCAACTACTAACGAACAGGTGGGAAGAAAAGGGGAAAAAAGAAGACACCAAGGATTTTATTGCTTTTGTCAGCAACCTAGAGAAGCTCAGTGATAGAGAACAGAGAGAGGCAAGCATGATTATACAGCATTGTAAAGGGGAGAACAGAAAATTTAAATTTCATGTCATGGAAAGTGTGTGGACGAATTTGAAAATGAAGTGGTGTTGCTGAATTGATTATCAGAAAACACAGAATAAAGCAAAAAATACTATATGAGATGGCTGCAGTTGTGAAATCCACTTATATACATCACTCAGTTTTAATACCATTCTTTCCGCTCTTTCTACTCACTTTCATCTAAACTCAATTTAAACTAGTGTAACCTTTGCCTTTCAATAGAAATATGGCTGTGTTGTGTTTGACATGGTACTTGGTTTCTCTTTGCAACATTCACTTTTGTTACACAGGGTTAATGCTATATGTTTTTTTCTCCCCATGCCTCCTTGTGTGACCAATCTGCTCAGACTGTAAAGACTTTGGTGTTCAAGTTGTCTGATTCTGTACTTGCACGAAGGCTGATTAAAATGGCTGGGATGGACTTTAAGTGCTGTTGAATACCGTAACTATTAGTTTTGAGCATACAAATTGGAGACAATTAAATGTTTTTTAAAAATGTGTGGCAATACAGGAGTATAAGCAACACCTGTTACAAAAGTTAACTTTGAAAATCTATTATTTCCAATATGCCTATGTGTATATTTGTGAGTGTGCGCCTATGTATTTATTTATGTATTTTAATCTCGCAGCCCACGGAAACTATGAAGTCTGCTTCCCATCCAATCACTGGAGAAATTCAGGTAAATTTGTAGGTTTTGCTGTGGAAATTGCTGTTGCTACTGGCTGCGTTTTTCTGATGATTAAGTTTGCAGAAAACAAGCTCCATTAACTGATTTTTTATTCAACTCCAACCCCTTGAAATGTCACTTATGTAAGTCAGTGCTTGATTTTTGCCTCTGTCTTTAATGTTGGCTTGTGTAATACAAACAGAAGGATGGAAAATGCTGTTGTTCCTGAAGGGGCTAAAAAAGCAGTGAGATTCATTCTAATCTTTAATCTTTGGGCACTTACCGTGGTTTACTTCAGAAATTCCCAGACTGTTTACATTTAAGCAGAGAGTGCTGTGGGTTCCTCATAGTACAGTGTATTTATTTCCATACAAAGCCAAGTTTGTGGTTATCTCTTATGTAAACTGACTTTATGCTAGCTTTTTAAAACAGTGGAACTGGGAGCAGAAGAATAAATGAAGCCTAACTTCCTATAAATTTCTGTCTTTTTTTTCCTTAATTAATCCCTCACTCCTATACCAGTACTATGAGTCTTTCCATAGTATTATAACATTCTTCCCAGGCTTGGGCTCCAGGTTGTCAGAATTTGTGTAATTCTTACTCCATAAGCTGGCTATATGCTCAGAATAATATCAAGGGTTCAAATTTCATCTCCTTTTTCCTGATTGGAATAGATCAATACATGTGTTTCCTTTTTTTTTTTTTTTTTTTTTTTGCCAATACTGGCAGACTTTGAAAGCAAAATTTGTTTCAAGATCCAACATAATCATCTAGCATCTCATTCTAGTCAGGAGAGAAAGAGAGAGACTTCCAAAATGTGTTTATTTCCAGACAAAGTAAAGGTCTAAAATGTATTTTATTCAAAGAATTTAAGAGAGGTATCAAATCATTTGGGAAGTGAAAATAACAAATAATCTTTCTGTGTTTTAATGCATTCTCTAGCTTCAAATCAACTATGACAAACACCTTGGCAACCTTATCATCCACATCCTTCAGGCAAGAAACCTCGCTCCCAGAGACAACAATGGCTATTCGGATCCCTTTGTTAAAGTTTATCTTCTTCCAGGGAGAGGGTAAGTATAGAGGAAATTTTAACCTGAGCTTTCTTTTAATTTGGGTCTGTTACTTGTCACTAATAAACGGAACTGAAAGTTATTACTATAGAAAATCCAGGTCCAACACCAGGAAAAATGGTGGATTTTTAATAGAGAGCCAGATCCTACTCGCAGGAGAATGTGCATACTTTGCTAATGACCTCAGGGACTTCATGATCATTCCTGTAGTTTTTTTATTTTTTTTCATGTTTCCATTTAAAAATTCTAATACATGCAAAAATATGTATTAAAAGAACAACAGACTTTACTCAAATGTACTAAATATATACAATACTTTCTGTAATATAGAAAGCTACATGTTAAGGTTAACATGGAATGTTTGCTTCAGCTCAAGACATTCCGAATTTGGGACAGATTTGCAAACATACAGAATTACAGTTTCTGAGATAAATTTAAGGTTGCAGTATAATATCAAAGGTGAGAAATACTAGTCAGAAAACATTCATCCCATGTGATTTTTTACAACTTTTTTTTTAAGAGCTAAGATTTGGTTTTAGAAATCCTGGTGATTTTGTATCTAATGACTATACAAATCACTAATCACTTTTTCACAGACCATTGCTTTTTTAGACTCTGTAATTACAAATAGCTCATTAGTGTTTCCTTTGAAAGATATGTTTCTGTATCAGCAATATTATAACTCTTTTTTGTGCCCTAAAGTTGCAGAGTGTCACATGTATGCATAAGTATACATGGTTATAATAATACTGCTGACTTCGGTGACACAATACATATATGTAAAGTTAGGCTGATGGATCAGACCTTAGGTTGCAAAGACAAATTCCTGCAAACTTCTCTGCTTGTGTAATCACACTCATCCTAAAAGACTCTCAGGCTAGGATGACACAACTAAAAATCTGTATTTCTGTTCTCTTCAAAATAACAGGAAAGTGCATGCTCAGGTCACAGTGCAGCATTTGACATATAGGCAAGCACCGCTAAAAGCGCATGAATGGTACAACTAAAGGCAGGCGTATTCTTTTGTAGCTTGATAATTCCAGCTATACAGCATTCAATATTGTTCAGTGGCACTGGGCCCGAAACTCTTACTGAATATCATGGGAACAGGGCCTAAGTCTTGAGGGTTTTTTTAATGCACCTAAAAGTCTTGTAAGATATTTGTCAAATCAATCTTACTGGGAATTTTGCAGGTACATTCACTGGTGTAGAAATAAGACTGAACTAGAGAGACATTCACTCTGCAGAGGTCTAAGGCAGATCCAAGTATAGGTTTAAACTTGCTGCCAAGTTATGAAGAATTTGGATTTTAGTTTTATTTGGGTTCTTTATTTTAAAACATGGTATTGTTACAATTTTGCATTTAACTTGGGGCTTTAGGGAATAATGAAAATGAAGAGCTTCTCAAAAGCGCTAAACTTGTTTCTGAAAGCACAAGCTTGAATTGCTACTGAATATCTTTTATCTGTAGTTCAGTCCACGCTAGACTTCTTATTCTTCTCAATGCCTCTATTTCCTTTGATTCTGAAACTAGAAACTACCCATTATTCACATGTTTTCTTTATCTCTGTTCCCATTTTCTCTCACACTGCTTCCTCTGTGTTCCTAACTCTGTAAATGCTGGATATGCAGTCAAGTCATGGTTGTCCAAAATGCAAGGTAGAGTGTGCTATCTTCCAATTTTATTCTTTCATTTTTGTATGCATGCATGATATGATAAACCTGTGCATTGAACTATAGATTTCTCTTGAGTTTTGATGGCACACAATTGCAGCATGGTTTTGCTGTTCATTCTCTAATAAATCCCTTTTCCAGGTCAGCAAGAACTGGAAATGAGTAATTAATGCTTCCTGGTGCAGTAATATTCTAGGGCCAAAGTTTGATGACAAACAAAATTCCTTGTGAATTCTGGAAGAATTTAGTTCAAAGATATCTAAAGATTCATTCTCACTCACTGAAAGTTGCAAAACAGTTAACTGTGAACTTGTATCAAGATTTTGAGTGGTGTTAGTGCCAAGAGAAACAGGCACTGTTTGGCAATGAAATGGAACATTTTTCTCTATATACCTTGCACAGCGTATAGACATTAAAGCCAGGTATAATTCTAGATAATTGCACAGCTGGCTTTAAAGCTGCTTGACCACAAAAATGGGGTTTTTGTCATAAACAAAGTTGAATTTTTACCTATTGAATTATTAGTGCTTTGTTTGTCCTGGAGTTGGAAACATAAGGCAAAACTCCATTCTCACGATATACTAATATCAGCCCAGGCTAAGTACATAAGAACAGTATTTCAGCCTAAATTCTAAATTTGTTTAAAAGTAGAAAACTGATGAAACAAGTCAGCAGATGAATTTCAATAAACAGATCTTCTCTATCATCAGTCTTTTTCTTCATTAATAAAATTATTTAATGAATGTTCTTAAATGCCACATTTTATATGCAGTCATTCTATAATACTTTTTTCATTGTACTTTCAGTGGTATTATGTGTTAATAAATTATAATTAAGGAAACATAGAGAAATGAGAAAGAAGAGGCTAATGCAGTTTGTATCTTTTCACACAGCATACTCTGAGAATTTCAAGTGCAAATTATTTCATACTAGGTATAGACTGGTTTAATGAATGCATTTTATTAAATCATCTCCATCTCTTAATCACAATTGTTGGGGGAAAGTTGCATCAGTGGTATGAACTTAATGTATTTGCCAGATCCTTCCCTTCAGAGGTCTAGAAATCTTCAGCTGTCATCCAGCTTAGCCTGGGTCCACACCTCCTTAGAAGTGGTCAGGGTCTCCTGCTTCCCTCTGCAACAGATCCAGACCGTAGGTTACATCAATGTCAGCTAACACCACCTTTGCCAGTTTAGATCCAGATACTATGGATTTCACTGGAAATACTCCAGAGTTACCATGTTAACAACACATTTACCTTTTGTCACTGCCAGCTCTGAAACTCAACGCTGCATGAATCATCTTCTCACATATTTCTGAAAAAACTCAGAAACTTTGAAAAGGTGATGAGGTTGTAATATTGCAAAAGGAAATCCATGAAATGGAAGGGAATGTCATGGCGTCATTTTCTTGGCTGAGTGTGCAAAGGGTCCTTTCCTACTTTCTTCACAAAGATGAAAGTGTATCAGTTCCTTAAATCCAGTAGATCATATGACATTTAGACAGGCCCAAGCTGCATAATACTGCCCTGGTTTAGTTTAGGTAAGAAGTAAATGGGTTACTCTGGGTGTAGAAGAACTTTTGATTAGTTAATATTTCATTAATAGTTGATCAGAATAGACATTCGTTTGAGAAGTACTGTGAGCCCAGAGAGAGAGATGCTGCCTGCCCAGCTGTCACTTACCCATGTCCTGTGTCTCCATAAGGGTCAGTCAAATCTCATTAATACTTTGGGTGATTGCGATGCTTTTTTCAGTTCAGAGAGTTGGAAAAGAAGGCTAATGAGGTGCTTGAAAAATTTAAGTGCATTACTGAATAGGATTTGCCATCAAAATCTAGTTTCCAAAAGGATTCAGATTTTGTATTTCGGCTTTCCTTCCAAGATATGCAAAGAAATAACTTTGCATGAGTTTCTTTTTCATATGTTCTTGGTCTCCCTAGATTTTAATGCATCCTTTTCTTACTGACACACAAGAAAAAAGAATATCGTCCTCCCCCCCCCCCCCCCCCCAAAAAAAAAAATATATACCATTGTATGTTGTGGCTGACAGAACTGACTGAACTGTGGAGAGCTGCTGCTTTCTTTTCAGAAAAGCAGAGGTGGACAGGTACTTTGTTTCACAGTCCCAATGCCATTCACATTTTTCGGTAAACTGGAAGACAGTGGATAGCATGTTTTGCAAGAAAATAAATGGAACTACATAGAATGACTAGAGCAAAATGTAAGAGCAAAAATAGCTGCAAGTCCCTTTCATTGAAAGATATCAGTCTAGTAGGCAGCTTGGATATGGCCACCCTCTTTTGGAGAATAAGGCCACTAGACACTCCAGAATAATTAAATGGGAGCACTGCACAGTAGAATTGAGTTTGTGGAGTGAAACTGCTGGTGCTGAAGACCCAACATTGACATATGTGTGTCAGTAAAACACATGCGTCTTTCACATAACCTTAATTCAGACCTGCTCCAGTCTGGTACGATGCATGGTACACCATTAGTGACTAGCTGATTAAATGAGTCCCTGGAGTGTATCTTCTGAGTTAATCTCATATGAAGGGAATCTATTTCATTAGCTCTGAGACCATGCCACAGTGTGAACCAAAGCACAGTTCAAACAAAAGTTTGAAGTGAGAATCAGGAGAACAGCACACTACCAAAAACTAATGTAGGGAAACCATAAAAGTGTTTAATAGGGCAGATAGAGGTCACTGTGTGCCATTTGGCCTTAGTGCTGGAGAACAGTCCTGGACACATTTAATTTAATAATAGATATAGCATGTAAGTCTTTTAATGTATCAGAGGTTTGAACAGAAGACAAAGGGCAGTTGACTTGCAGACTGGCAAAAAGAGGTTTTTTACCTTATATCTCATTGGGTTTTCAAAGTATTAAAAGCTTCTCATGTTCTCCTACCCAGCTCTTCTGAGACATCCATTAAAATTTATATTAAGTTAAAATTGGAATGGAAGCAAATCTGACATCAAAGCTCACAGAACTAAATGAATCCATATTCTCTTAAAGGTTGCTGTATTGCTTTCTCCATACTCAGGAAATGGAAAGTACAATAGAAAGCACTATCGAATCTTTTTAAAAACAGATTATGCAGCCAAACTTTTTATTCTTGGCTATTGATAAAAACAATCATGAGCTTGATGGACTGTTATGTTGGTTTCCAGTACAGTTAGAGGTATAGGCAGAGAATAGGATCAATAAGAAATTAGTGTTTCTATCATTAACAGGATATTAGTTACCCCATGGCATTCATTAAACATTCTTGTGAGATGGGACTCCTGTAATTAGAGACTGCAACCTATAAATATAATGGATTCATGCTACTTTAAAGTGCTAATAGGAGGATGGTCTTAGAAAATAAATCAGTGCATTATCACTTCAATTTATAATCAGAGCCCAACACCTACAATGAGAGAACAAAGTGTATGTGCATGTGCTGACTGATGCTTTATGCTGAAATGGTTGTAGGCAGAGCTAGCCTGCTGAAGAGTCAGAAGAAGATGTTTTAAAAAACCATGTCAGGAAAGCATGCTAAGAAAAACCCCAAAGGCTGTTGTTGTCCTCTTGTAACCTTGAGTTGTTGCAGAAATGAGAGATGCAGTTCTGTTCTTTTTCTGGTTTTTGGTTTGTGGGTGTTTTTTTGCATTAGAAATGAAAAAACCCAAAAGATCACTAATGTAATGTTTCCTTCCTTTGTTCAAATTCAGTGCCGAGTACAAGAGGAGAACTAAGTACATACAGAAAAGCTTGAATCCTGAGTGGAATCAGACAGTAATTTATAAAAATATCTCCATGGAGCAGGTGCGTGACTGGTAGCACTGTTCAGTGCAATTTGCTACTTTATTATTTGTATGGTCTGCAGTGCTTACTGTGAAGGGAGCAGTGCTACAGGCAATTCTGTGAACCACTGTAAAATCTTGCCAAATTTAGGGGAAATTTGGAACTATTTCCTTGCCTCTGATAGAACTTACTATATCAATGCTCTTTTCTTGTCCCTTCTACTCATAAAAATGGTAATTTGTGGGGATTACGCTCATAATCATGTCATAAGTACAGATGTGGCAATTTAAAAAATGATAATGGAATACAGGAAGGGAATAAATTAAGACATAAGTTTCTGAAGTAGTTGCAGAAATCACTGTCACTCTTCATTCCAAAAGCCATGCAAGCTCACACAAAACACAGGTCCTACCATTTTCTTATTCAAAAATATTTGTGAAGTGTAGAGATACGTTTTTAGATTTAGCAGCAATTTACAGCAGTGGGCTTGAAATATGAATTACCTAAAAAAATTAGAAGATATGTAATTTCCTTGTTATAGAAAGATTTAACTCACATCTGGGAAAGAAGTCTGTGGAAGTCTTCTCCGTTTCTTGGTGGCTTCCTAACTCTAACTGACTTGCAGGGTTAACTGAGGCAGCATGAAGCAGTTGAGTCCTCTTTTTCTCCATCTCCCCTTGTAAATGGACTTTTTACCATTTGGAAAAGGCATAATGAGCAAAATGATGATCAGTCCAATTCTTTAAATTATGAAGTATATTTTATAGAATAATGGATCTGTACACAGTCCTAAATCGTTGCCTTTCTTAGTGTTTTGTTCTTGATACTTTCAACTTCATTTTTCAAGGCCATTTAATCTTTCAGAACTTCTTAAAAAAGCCCAGAATAACCAGACTCTTTAGTGAATAGATTTTCCCATGCTTTTAATATACTTCTCCAACATGACACCAAGTCCTCAATATTATCTCTCTAACTTAAAATTTCATTTTTCATTCTTCTCGGTCATTGAGAGGAACATAGATTAAGATACTCATTTTTGCATGGAGAAAAACCCTTCCCACAGAGGAACTTAGATGGTTGCTTATGCAGTCTACATGTCTGAACTTAACAGGCAGTAGCTCCGATGTACTTCAGAGGTGCCTTGTTGTACGCAAGAGCTATAGCTTGCTGGGTTTTGCATGCTGTTTTGTGTAGGCTTGCATAAATTATAGCTCATTGACAGTGAAAGCGTCAGAAAAAAAACCCTGTGGTGTTTGTCTAGCTGCAATGTAAAACCTAGGTCTTCTGGGTTTTGTAAAAAGGTTTGGTAAGCCAGCAATATTTCCAAACTGAGCCTTCCATTTAAGAAAGGCTCTTCAGTTTACTCAGTTTGCTTTCAGGTTCTGCTGTGACATTTCACTGAGCTGTAATTAAGAGTGCTTGGGTGTTGGACATTCAATGGCTGTTTGGTGATTTTAGATTGGATAATGATCTTAGTCTAGGATTTCTTAGAGATTTTTATGACAGAAAATCTCCTAATATTTTTGATGTCAGTTTTTTGACCATTGTTTGTTGAAATTTACCTTTAGGTCACAAGTAATTCTTTGACCTTTGCTTTTCATTTGCAAATCTCCTCCTCTTCCCTTCCTCTGAGACTGTTATGCAGTACTTATAAGTGTAAGCTTCATCTGGGTACCACATATGTTGTATATTTTGTCCTCTTGTCACGTAGAAGTGTGTGCAGGGAGTAGTATTTCCTTCCACATCTTTCCATAGCTTGTATCTAGTGCTAAGATAGCGGTGTGATTGATTGGCTTAGAGAATATACAGTAAAGCACATTTCTAAATCACGAAATAATTCCATGATGCTGCTAAGTACCCTCTACAGTTTAAAAAACTATCACCATGCAATAGTATATTGTTTGCACTCATAAACCTCACAAATGGATATTTCAAAATAGTTTAAGAATGTAAAGAGAAGTACAAGACAATAATTGTGATAGACTAAGAATGAGTGTTCTGATCGCCAAACAAGCAAAACTGCATCATACACTAAAAATTATACAGAGTTAGCAGTCATATCCTAACATAAATTCATGAATCTTTATAAATATTATTTCTTCAAAGAAGCATTTCCTTTCCCTCCATCAAAGCATGGGTTGCTTGCTGACAGCAAATAAGTATTACTAAATATTTCCTAATATAGTCCTTTTAACGTCACTGTCTAGACTTTAGCTGGTTGTACAGTTTTTCATTTTCCTTTTCTCTTTCATAACCTAGCTGAAATTAAAATGAAAATAATTATAAGAAATAGATCACTCTGAAATGAAACATACTTTTTCAAGGTCAGAATGATTAGTTTTATCACGTAGCAAATTCTACTTTGACAGTTGGAGAAAAAATAAATTAAACTGTGATTATTTAGTAATTTAGGTGTGGCTTGCTTTGCCTCAATTTCTTACTTGTCAGAAAGCAAATAAAAGTATTTCCTTAGATGATGGATATAATTCATTAAAGCAAATAGCTTTTGCTATAGCTCATGTCCTTAAATTAAAGGTAATATATTTAGAAAGAGTAATATTTTCAAAATCCTTGAGTGATGTAGGAGCCTATGTCTAATTTCTAAAAGTAAAAAAAGCTTTCTTATGAATCAGTAACGTGTTGGTACTTAAATCTTACTTAATATCTTGGACAAAAGAAAGTAAGTTTCTAAGTGACCTAGCAGAAGTGTTTTTGTCCTCCCATGTACTGAAGTACAGCAATATAGAGAAGACTACAATAAAATGCTAAATACGAATGTAAACACAAATAAGTATAATGCATGATCTAATACACCACCTTCATTTCTAGTCATCAAATATCCTGACTGAGACTGCAATCTTTTATAATATTTCTGAAGTAATTATAGGAATTTACTTTCAGCATACGAGAAAGCCAAACTGCATTAAAATTATTTCTTTCTTCATACAAATCCTTGTATGAGATTGTCAAAGAATATGTATTAAATATTTCAAGTAATGCATATTTAGTTACACAGACCCACATTATCTGGAACAACACCCAGTGATCTCCCGACATTTAAAAGAAGGAACTGACGCTTCAGTATGTGTGGTGTTGGTTATGTCTTCCATAAGAGAAAATGTTATTCACATTGGCTGTTTCTGCATATTCCTTCATTTTCTTTAAATGACGGTTGTCCACAGCAGCCTAAAGCTAATTGGAGTTCACATGCAGTAATGTGCTTTTAGGCGGGTTTTTATTTTTTAATTTTTTTTTTTCCCACAAGGCAAAGCCTGAAATTAGTTGCAGCTTAGTAATATTTTTTTCATAATATGCTTGGAACTCAGATGAGGGTCACAACATAAGTAAACTGCTTGCTTTCTTTTAGGGACACTTTCTTATTTTCCTGTTGGAACATTGCTTACTTGCAGAAACCCATGGTCAGATGGATAGTGGGCTTCTGAAACCCATTTCAGTATTGCTGTCAGTTAAATTCCTGATGGGGACCTGAATTTCTGGCTTCACAACCTAAAACTGGATGACGTAACGCAGAACCCTACTTTGCTGTGATGGTATAATGGCTGCTTTTAAAACCACTAGCCATTGAGTGTTCTTTGCCTTCAGTAGTGATACATAAATATACCTTCAGAAAGGGAAATTTTCCTCCTCTTTGAGACTCATTTCATGCACTCTGCCTAATAAAGCTTTTTTGATGGTTTTTCATTGTCATAATATTTAATAAAAGCTTTATTAAACTAAGAAGCTTGAAATAGATATCTCAAAGAAATATAGAGTTCTGCAAGTTTTCAGCACAGTTTTATTATCATAGTAATGCAAAGAAGCTAGCAAAGTAGGGTTGCAGTTGCTTGAAAATCTCCATTTTCCCCTTTCCACCAAAAATCCTTCAAATCTTAGAGGTTTTTTTCCTTTCCTGGATCTATACATTCTTCTCTCTGTCCCTGCACAGTCATTACTTCAAACAAGAAGACAATATGTCCTCCCAAAATAGCAACAACTGAGACAATACATTTCTGAAAAGTATTTGTGCTATTCCTCTTTTTAAAGGGTAAATATATATATATACTTAGTATAGCATCTAGCAGGAAATGATATCATCCAGGAAGGTAAAAGTAGCATGGACCAGTGGCTGCTCAACTCATTTTTTCAGGTTATTTTTCATGTTGCAGTTTCGATACTGTTTTGGAATAGCAAAGAAAAGGAATTTTATTCAGTCAAGGAAATCAGCTTTACAAATATTCTGTAAGGGATGTTCAAAAGAAAATATTTTTTGTTCAACTTTTTCCACAGCTTTTACAGGATATTTTTAAAACGAATGTTTAAGAAGAATATTGCCTAGTTGTATAGGAAAAAAACAGAGATTAAAGAATTGCTCTCAAATATGTATTTTCTTTTTAAATCTTAGTTTTCAAGTCATGTTATTACCTGCTTAAAGAGTACATTGTTGATGCTAAAAATAGTACAATTCCCCTTTGTGTGGATTTTCCAGGATATGCTGATTTAAACTTGTTTTTCAAAGACACTGGCTTTGCAGAGTTGCTCATTTTTCTAAAGTTAGCTGGGAGCAGAAGATATTCCGAATACATAATAATGAGATGAAATTATCATTTAAAGGCAATTTAAAGTTATTAAGGACTGTCTGAATCTGCGTTGCATTAAACCAAGGGGCAGCAGTGGTAAATAGCAAACAGTGCTTTTCTTGAAAGTATATATAATATGTACAGTAAATGGTATAGCTTTTAAAGTTGAACAATGACTTGATCCTCTGTTGTCCCTTTGTCCCAAGCAGCCATTTAGTAGTCAGAGCAGTGAGTGACGTGTTGCTTCTGTTAGGATGATGATCTCAATTATCACATAAGATTTCTGGTTCTGACCTCTTTTATTGACATATGTGAAAAGAGTCCTGTTTTCCTTAGTAATGCTTGGAAGCGTCCAACGAATTCTTCACTTACAACTCAGCCTGACTTCGCAGACATCCCATGCCCCCAGGATTTCGTCCTTTTCTCTTTCAAGCCACGTGAATTTATTACTGCCTCTCCAGCCACTTGCTAGCCTTTTGCCCCAGCATACACCACCGGTAATCAGTCCTCTCCCCATCTCTCCCAGCAGACCCCTGGAATAACTCTCAGGTCAATCTTTCCAATAAGGTCAACTGCTTTGGTCAACAGCTTCTCTGTCTTGCGCTATCTTGTCATATAAAAAGACTGACTTGTTTCTTAGTGTAGTCTGTAAGAAGAGTGCTTGACACAGCTATCATGCTTAACAAGGTCTGCAGATAATGGGTTTTGATGGCTGTCATTAATACCTAACAGTACAACTTATCCTGTATGGCTGGATCACTTGCAGAGTCCCATTGACTACACTGAATTCCAGGGGTATTAAAGCCTGGGCTTCACAGATGAGATTGTGGAAATATGGTGTTTTAAATAATATATTAGGCAAATGCCTGAGTTCAGACAACTCAGATCTGGCGATGAGAAGAGCTGCAGAAAAACAAAAATAGGGCTTTAAAAATCAGTTTAGCTCTTGTAGTGGACACACATTCTGTCAGAAACAACTTGTGGAAATTCCTAAAATAGGGCCAAGCACAAGCCCATTTGTCTTGATAACAAATAATAGCCCCCAATTATTTTTCTGAGATCAAGGTTGATGGGAGGACAAAAGCTGCCTAGCTGTCACTATGAAAAAGGGTACAAGAAGGAGATCGTGAATAGAAACCACCATAAAGACTTGATCTGAAGTTTACGATGGCAATGGGGTTAATTATCCTTTGACTTAAATTGCAGCTGAAAAAGAAAACACTGGAAGTGACTGTCTGGGATTATGATAGATTCTCCTCGAATGACTTCCTTGGTGAAGTGAGTATCTTATTTCCTCCTCTCTAATATTGACTACTTAGAAAGCTGATTAACTGCATGCTGCTATTTGGAGACTGTTCTCTTCCAAGGTATGATAGATGTGTTAAGTAAAACCTTTTTTACATCACAGTTTTCCTGCTGACTTCATAACAATGCTTATGATTTCTTTCAGTCACACATAAAAGATACCTTCGGTTTATCTTGATAAACTGTGGGCAAGTTCATTTAGGTTGCAACACAATGTTACTTCACTGAAAATTAAGGGGGTTTTTTCAGCCTGCCATAGTAACAGCCTTCACAGAGACTGAATGGGGAATTCTTGTTATGACTGATATGCTGTCTGCCTTGATTTTAATATGACATGGAAAGGCTGAGGAGGTATCAGTCTTTGTACATGATTAAAGGATTAAATTCTCCCATCAAGCCATAATTTACCACATGCAGAAGTATCTGCAAGTGTGAGTAATTTGTTCTTGCTGATCAAGGTCTCATTTTTAACACTACAAAATAGTAATATCATTACCAAAGTATGACTGAAGGCAAAATTTTCTAATTAATAATAAATGAGATGAGTGATTATGGGGAGAAGTATGCTCTCTCTTTTAAAAGCAAATAAACCAAGATATGCACATATAATATGGAATTACCAGCAATAACTATGATGTCAAAAAGTAATTAAAAATGTTACTACAAAAGAGGATTATAATTAGAAACAGAATCCCAGGAAAATCAATTGCTCATGTACAGAGTAACTCAAAGTATCTCTTCGCATTCTGCATTTGAATTTCACAAAAAAAGGCATTCAGTTCAGCTCCAGTTCTCCTTTGTGTAACTACAAAACTGAGCAATCAATGTCACTATTTGAACAATCACTAAAATAAATTTATAGGAAGCAGCCACATGATTACTTATTTCCTGCGTACTGCATCAGTATTCTTGTTGAGTTCAGCATGTTTGCCTAAATGCAGGGCTTTACTGAATATTTACATCATTGTTATTTATGAAAATGGATGCTCCAGCAGCTGCTTCTACAGGAAGATTTAAACTTTTGCCTTCAAATATTTTCAACCCCTACAACTATTGTATTTGTTAAATCATTCAGACTTAAATATGAAAACAGATCTTCATGGAAAAAAAAAGGAACAGAAAAGACTATCCATTGTATTTCAGGACCAGGATGTCCAGAGGAGTCCTGTACCATAACACAAGATACAGGATATCCAAATTGTGCCCTAAGGACTTGCTTGAATAGGGCCAGCACCACTTGCATGCCCCAGAAGGCAAGTGGCACATCATGGTTCACATCCATGGAATGTGAACCCTCTTCTCCTACAAAGCAGAGCCCCCAGCGTATACTGCCTATTGGGAACTGTCCTCAACCATGCTGTCTTCCAAGTCATTCCCAAAGCTATGACCATAAACCACACCAGGGAGCATGCTAAATAGTTAATCTGTTCAGATTGAGTATAGACCTAAGCAGAAAGACCAAGCCAGGTCATATGCAACCTATGAAGCTGAAAGAAAAAAGGAAAGAAAAAAGGCTTTTAATCTTTTAGAAACAATCAGGTGTGAAGAGACTTCCCCATCCCTAAACTTTAAAAGTCTTTCTTTCATTTAGGGTCTTGTAATAAACTGACAAAGACATTGTCCCGGAGGTAATTGCACACTTTGTTTGTCTAGCAGTTTTAAAACTTCCCTACCTGCCATTAGTTTTAACCCTCTCACCTTAGAGCCAAATACAAGGCTGGTTTTGTCCTTCCCTTCATTCAAGACTCTATGATGACTCTAGTACTTTACATCTCTTGGCCCTCTCAGCTGCAAGATCATTAAGGAAGGAAGGGTCTTTATTGGTCCCAATGCTCATTCTTTTTTTTACTTCTTTTTTTTAAAGAAATTTCACAGAACTCCTCCTAGCAATGCAGGTGGCTTAGTGTAGATTTTAGCTACAATGGAGGGGGGTTTTGCCAAGCTGCTCGTTTCATTTCCACATTGCCATTGCATCTCCCTTTTTTTTCCAGTGAAGTTTTGAGGCCTAAATGACCTATTAAATTCTATTATTTTAGTGATGTGCAAAGGTATCACTATTCTTTTCTTTTTTTTACAAATTCTGCATAGGTGGATTTTTTAGGGAATCAACAAGCATCAGTCTCATATTATTGAAGACCTGATTAAAAACAATTATGGATTTATTTGCCCCTTTACTAACACTGACAAAGGGAGAAAATAACACTGCCTGATTCTTCTATTAGAATATGTCTATACAGAGGCAGAATGACTAAATGTCTTTTTAGTCTAGTTTTCAAGCTTGTGCTCACAAGCTACCCTTTAAACTATCTAGCTGTCTTGGTATGGAGCTATGTCTAAGCTTGTAGCCCTTACTGAGGTCCTGTTGAGAAGAAATATTAGTTCAGACACATCCATATGCTAAAAAATGTGGGTTTGGGATCACAGCTGGCTTATATCAGGTGAGGTCGGAGCATGGGCAGTGCCTGAATCTGTCAGCATACAGCCTTATACCCTTAACTTCTTACATTTGATTGCAACTTCTGGTAACACAACTATAGACTCTTCTACTGTACACAATCATTAATAGATCAGATACAGGCCATATATTGTACTCTGAATTATTTGTAGGTATTGATCGAGTTATCCAGCGTGTCTCAGCTTGACAACACTCCTCGGTGGTACCCTCTGAAAGAACAGAGTGAAAACATTGATCACGGGAAATCTCATTCTGGACAGAGTAGCCAGCAGTCTCCAAAACCATCTGTCATCAAGAGCAGAAGTCATGGAATCTTCCCGGACCCCTCCAAGGGTAGGATTGACTTGATGCACCTGATATGAAATGTTTTCCCAGATGAAGGGAAAACTTTTGCTATGTGTAAGTTCTAAAAGAAAAATAAAGTTACTGCTATGAAGTTTGTATACACTTTTATTAAAAATGTGTTTATCTCTGTGATTAATTCATTGGAGCCAAGGCTTAATTTGGCTCAATCAGTGCCAGCCAGCTTACTTACTTAGTAATTGTGTCCTTAAAAAAGCAGCTTACAAGCTCCCTGTACTTTGCACATCTACTATAGATTCTCTGCCCTCCTCATTTTTCCGGTAGCCTTGGCCAAATTCAATACATACTTATCTTTCTATTTTTCATGGTCCTTAAATATTCTATGGCATTTTGTCTTCTGGAAATATCACATTAATATTTTATAGAATAACAGTTATGCTATAATAATGCATATGCATTTCCAGTCAATGATAATGGGCTGCAGCATATCTCAATTGTATTGGAAATCAGTGGAGCTGTTATAGTAGTATCATACTAGTGTTTACAAAAGCAGAACTGATCTCAATGTCTCCTGCTCCAAGAAATTTCTCTCTACCTTTTTATTTTTTTTATACTAAGTAGTCACTGGCCTAGTAGCTCACTTAAAACATGGTACGTCATATCAAAGCAAAAGCCATGCCAAATAGCATCCAGATGAGAGCCTCAGAGTGATAAGACTCTGTTCCATCTCTCTATTTCTTTGTGTAATGTTTTGCTAGGGATTCATGTCTGTATAAGATCTATATCTAAATTGGAGGTTAGTATAGAAGCTATTGTAAGTTAGGCTATGGTTTTGACTGGGGCATTCATCAGAATAAAAGTGCTTGCCTTACCTAAGTATTCAGTGCCGGTCTAAGTGATGCTAGTTAGTCTCTACATACTAGAGAAGTAGAAAGTGGAAAACAAATTAGTCTTTAGGATACCCCATCATTCCACCAGTGTGAACCAGCACAGGAGGCATAATTCACAGGTGATAGAAACCCAACAGTAAATTAACTATTCCCTGGGCCAGGGAACAGTGAGGAAGCAGAAAATGGTGCTTCGTAAGAGTTTCCTTATCACGATATATCCTGAGACTGTGAATGGCATTGCACAGCTTAATCTTTATTCCTTGTTCTGGAATGCAGCTAGAAAGGCTAGTCAAGAGAAAGAAAATGAAATTGTTTGGGTTTAGTAAATGCAACCCTTGTGCTTCTACATTTTCTTGGTAGAGATGCAGGTGCCCACCATTGAGAAATCCCACAGCAGTCCAGGGAGCTCCAAATCTTCCTCTGAAGGACATCTACGCTCTCACGGTCCATCTCGCAGCCAAAGCAAAACCAGCGTCACTCAAACTCACCTTGAAGACGCTGGGGCAGCCATCGCCGCTGCTGAAGCAGCTGTCCAACAGCTTCGCCTTCAACCAAGTAAAAGACGCAAATAAATTCCTCAGCATGGCAGCTTAATGTTCATCTGTTGCCTTTTTCCCTGCTGTCTTTCCCTTTTTGGCTATTTTTTTTCTGTTCTTGGCACACTGTGCTCACTCTGTTCAATGTCTTTCTTTGTGTGCCTGTGTGTGAATACATATAATTACAATATACTCTTGTATTTAGAAGTCTTTTATTTATTTATTTATTTTAATTTATACAGACTGCAGTGAAACTGGCTGTTTCTCCATCAGTCCCTTCACTCATGGTCCATGATGTTCCATGGTTGTGCATGACTCACAGAGAATTCCATTGTGTGGTGGTGTTTTGATGTCAATAAATAACTACCAATCAAATAATCAAAACCTGCAGAGATGTGGCTACCAGCTCCTCAAGTGGTACACAAGTACTGAGAACACATTAACAAGATATATTTATAAGTAGTAATCAGGAAGGACAGTACTATATACACAAAAGAAGATTTAAAGGTAGATAAAAGTTTTTTAACTACATGGCTGAGATTTCTATTTTTGAAACATGACTGTAAATATCTAATTTTTTTTGGAAAGGAAATATAAGGCAAGATTCTTAATATCTCAGATAAGATCATGTTAGTGATGAGCAGAACAGCAACAGACAAAAACATTAAACACATTAAATGCAAAATCATTAAACACACAAAGCCATTAACAACATCAGATTTCAACAGTGTTATCAAGTTAGCAAAGTCAAAGGGAGTTGAGAGCTAAGTCAGGTGTCATAATCAGTTCAATTTTTCTAGTAATTTTTGTGCCATGGATTGATTAAGAGTCAAGATAGATTCCATCTGACAACTTTAAGTAGACTCATAAATTAAAACTTTTCCATTCAAAAGGATTGCTCTCCAGAGTGTACTTCAGACCAGTATCTGATTGCTAGTTGAGGGTTTAGCTGATGGCAAATGAAAACTCTCTGACTATGGAATCATTGTGTTTGTCTTCAGGATTTGTTGGTATGCCATAAACTTACCATGGTATAATGCAAAAAATGGGGGAAAATTATTTCCCTTGTCTTCACCATCATTAATAAAGAAACAGCCAGTTTTAATACTCTTTAATGCTGTGCATGTGGTGTCTCTTTGGTGTTTGAAAACACTACTTACTTAAATACAGAAAAAACCACTTCTGTTTGCATGAATAACATTTAAGCTGGTTCCATCTGAGGATACATACTCTGGGTTTCCATTTCACCCACACTGCCACAGCAGCACATAAAAGCGGTCAGTCTAATCATGCCAGGAAGCAGCACAGACACAGCATAGCAGGAGTCCTCCCTATTCAGAGAACTCAGTCTGACAATCTGCCTCCACCAGCCAATGACAACAAAGACCAAAGCCAACTAGCCCTCAGGAAAGTGATGTCTGATGGACCAGTCAAGCCTGAAGGAGGTGAGCAGAAAGACATGGTTAAGAAACCAACCACATCCCAAATCCTTCTTATCATGTCTACTAATTCATTGCAATATTTAATTATTTATTTTACCCCTCCATTAAGTGCTGTAAATGTTAACATGAATCAAGAACTCTGCTTGATTTTTCCACATCAGCGCATAAATCCATAATGAAAACTGTGCTAAGAAACATTACAAAACAACAAACTTGTGCACTTCCATTCCACTGGAGGACTTAGACTTCTGTTGAAAAATGGTATAGTTTTGCTCGTGGTGTTGCCTAATAAAAAGCATGTATCCAAGCTGGTCTGCTTAAGCATGATTGAACATTTCTTGTACTGTGACAAAAACCTAATTGCACATCTTTGTTTCTGGAATTCTAATTGGGACATTAACAATTTCTTTTTCCTCTCCCAACATAGTTGTTATGTCAAAAGTCATTAGCATAGATAATTTTTCAAACTGCCAGTGGAAAGGAAAGGAGTTTTGATCCATGTATAGCTCAATCTCTTGATAACTTTCCTATCAGCCTCTTAAAAAAATTATTTTCTACCTGTAGGCACCTGTACATCAAACCTAAATACATATCATCAATTTCTCCCCTCATCACAAATAAAGAGCCAGAATCTCAATTGGTTCAAATTGTCACTGTTCTTCTGACTTCTGGAGCATTTTGTTTATTTCCATAGAATCTGAGGGATTATCCTAATAAACTTATAGACTGGACTCCCAGATCTTCTCTTGTGCTGTAATCCCTTCCCAGGCTCTCATGATTCATTGAAGTTTTTTTCTGTGGACACCATTGCACACTGTGGACAATACAGTCTGGCTGAGAAGGTTGTAGGAGGGAAGGAGGGAATGATACTTCAAACAATATACCCTGAAGGCAACGAGTCATTAAGAACTAGTGTGATTTTAAAACAGCTAATTAACAAGGGCAAATTTAACAAATAATTTTAAACATTGTATGTAGAAATAACAAGTTGTTTCTTATTAGAGCCTTAAGAACTCTTCCGTAAATATATCTATCTACACACATATTGTCTTACTCTACAGCTCAACTCCAGAGACTCAGTTCAGGCAGAGGCCAGAGGATTTCATGGTACTAGTTCAGGCATCATGACTGAAAGGCCCATCCTATTCCTGGGTTGTATACCACAGAAATCTAAATAACTCTTATGATCTTTTGAGCTGTCGTGTCTGCAGAGATTTATCATAAAGACTTTAGTCTATGATACCTTTTGGCATAGACAAGCGATGCTAAAACCTTTTGCTTGTGATATAAGGTTGAATCAAGGTTCACATACACTTTTATGATAAGGAAAAATAGCTAGGCTGTTGGCTTCAAGTACTCTTGCCACTGAACATTTATGCTAGGTTCTTTACTTTTAAAATTGCAAAAAGGATATGTATCAATATGCACTTGGCTCAGCAATATTAGAAGTATCATAGAGAGTTATGGGAATAAGAGTCCACATTAATATCATTAATATATAAACAAGGTTAAAGTTACTATGAAGAGACAAGGTACTTTTGTCTTTTTACTTCTGACAAATATACGTAATGCATGGTCACCTACACAAAGTTTACAAGTCTGGTTTCAGATCTGTGAGAAGTTTTGTCTTCTGCTTATTGTACCAAAACTAGTTTGTCCTAATTTATTCATATGAGGTGGGCCAATAATTACCATTTTGAGGTTAATGGATCTCATGCGTTTCAGAAGGAATAAAAAGCAAGATTAGTTTATTGCAGTTTTGTGGAGTACGTAAGTAAAACAAGAAGAGACTATGACCTTGGATAGAAAAAACCTCCAAAGATGCTCAAAACAGCTTTCAATTTATGGAGTTCTTTGCAGGAAGGAGAGGTTTCTCCTGCATTTAAGAAGTTCTAAAAGTTCAGAATATTGTGAACAATGAATATTAGAGCATCATCAATTTGCAAGTCCATTCCTACAGGGATGCTGCATTGTTGTCGTACCCACCCCCATTACAGCCTATTTTATTGGCACCTGGAAAAGAACCCATTATGAACTGGTTTTATGGACCAGAACAGTCATATTGGCAAGTTAGTAATTTTTTGTCACTAAGTCTCAAAGCCCTTTATTAAGGAAGCCATTACAGAAAATCCACATTATTATTATTATTATTATTATTATTATTATTATTATTTAACACAGCTATTTCTTTGTGAATTTATCAGAGAACAGCACCTCTTAGAACAACTGTTTGTTTTTTCAGCCCAAGCACACAAGATGGTAGTAATCTAGCAAGATTTCCACAAGGGTGATGGGAAAAATTCTATGCTGTGAAAGATCATCAGTTCTTCTCTAAAAGAACCCTCAGAAAGAGTTTCCTCCTTTAACCTAGTCTCTCAACAGCTTCTTCTTTTTCTTTTTTTTTCTTAAATTGAATTGGCACTTGAAAAAACAAAACAATACAAGAACCCTCAGTCATTCTTAGAATGCCCCAGAGAAATCTTTCTCTACTTCTGACTCCCAGGACCTTTTCTGTTCAATGTATTTTGTCAGTTATTAGTTGTATGTCTGATGAAAAGTAAAAATGAAATCATAAACAAAACCAGCACTCATGGTATACATATTATATTTTATGAATGCAAAGGACTTGCATCAGTTTAAGTTTATTGGACAGAGCTACTTCTGTATTCATTTTAAACAGTAAAAAAATGTATTTTAATCAATCTGGTTTAAAATTAAGGTGAAGCTACAACAGAAAACATTGGTCTTTGTTCAGCACCTTTGTAAAATCCAATATTCAACTACAGCATTTAATTAAAAATAAACCCTGAAGTATAATTTTCTTGTTGCCCGTGAGAGATAAGAATGTGATCTGCAAAGAAACCAATTGCATAATACACATTCCCATCACACCCCTCAGAGAGGAACAATAAAATTTCAGAGCCAACTCTTTGAAGGCAGAAGTTGCAAGGGATCCAAGCCAGAGGGAGGGTGCAGTGCCTAGGTTTGAGTTAATTTGATTTCGTTTTTGTGAAAAATCTGAATCGTTGCCAATTACACATTCACATAAAATTAAGCACATTCCTTTCAACATAAATCTGTGTATTAGAGTTTATCCACCAGATGAGTCAGTTTTAGAGATAATGTAGATCAGTCCAACTCCTTTTAAGTCAGTAATTTTTTCCCACAGAAGGATCTTTCCATTATATTGAATTTTCTTGGTAGGTCACTTATGTTTTAAATATAAGAAATTATTTTAGCATTCTTCAGATATTTGAACAGTTAGAGATATTCTGATGAAAATTACCAGTTCTCTGGATATATGCATATAAAACAGTAGGTGTATCTTCAATATAGTTATTTACCAATTTTATATAAAAGGCTTTCTCAAAGACAGTTTATAGTTTTAAAAGAATGAACTACATGCTTTAGTTTTAATAACTTCCAAAAAACTGAATAAGACAAGCAAAAGTTCCCTTCAGCGTCTGTGTGAAGTAGAAAGGTGAACCTGCTCTGCCTCAGTAGAATAGAAAGTGTAGTTTCCAGTGAAATAAGACGTTCAGAGCACAAGAAAAAGATAGTGTTCACAATATAGTCATCATTTATCTATGTAACTCATCATTTTTTAAAATACACAGTTTTATAAGGAGCTGTGGTCTCTACATGGGTGTAGCTTAATGGGTAAAATTCAATGGGCTTGTCCTTATTTGCAGAGGAGGAGGTGCCACTTTTGCCCCAAAAGGTACAATGATTGTACAATGAAAAACCAATACCTTTATTACATCAGAATAGCAAATGGTCAACAACAACAAAAAATTTTATGACCAAAGAAGAGAATTTCTAGAAAATTATTTTGATTCTTCCTAGGATCTTTGGAGAACAATAAATTAATATTTAAATAACTCAGTAGGTGATTTTAAGCCTGAACATCATTGTAGTCCTATGCATTTTTCTATCCTTTCTAACAGACATTTGTGAGAGAGAAGCTACAAGTCAATATGCTGTTGCTTGAACATGATATGATGATGGATGTCGTATGCACCTCCTCTTTTATTTGGCGCACATTAAAAAAACAACCAAACAAGCAAACAACCTGCCAGGAGAAAAGCACTGCTGCACTCTTGACCTGAATTAGTTAGCAAATGTTAAAGATCTAGAGAAAATACCATGTGTTTCTGTTAAAGGTCCAAACATACCTGTTAAATTACCATTTAAGGTAATACAAACAATGTATTTCTACAGAAATTTCTGTCTAGTTTTCCTATATTCTTTTACTCAACAATAGAAAGGTTTTTTTCAACCCCAAACCTCTGGGAATTTAAAATCACAACACTTTCTGAAAACCTCCAAATCTAATGCATGTACCCAGAACCTATTTTTTTCTCCCATCTCCCAGAGAACATTTCATATTTTACATTATAAATTTTCCATCATGACACAAAAGCTTTTCTGTGATATCCTAAGAGGAAACTACTTTCCAAATAGCTGTGTGTCAAGTGATTTTACTGGTCAGAGGGAGGTCTACAATCAGAGTTAATACTGTTAGATAGAATATCTAGGGTAGATGGACTGTGTATCAGCATTTTTACAATTGTACCCAAATAAGCCAGTCAATTTACACCTCTCAAAGACCTCCAGTTTAAAACACTTTAGTTCAAAAGGCAGCATAGCTGCAGTCCAACAACTTTGACAACAGTTCACTTAAGTGTCAGCATAACAGGTTAAAGCTACACAGAAATGTGATGTGATGTATGTACCAAGATATTGCTAGCACTGTAAAATCCATGATGCAGGTCTGAGCCAGCACTGTGTAATTTCTAGCCACTTAGCTATAAGAAATTAAAATCGACAGGAATTTTCCTTACCACTAAGTTCTATTTACTGGCATTAGAAGCAATGTGGAATGAAAGGAAATTGATTCCTAGGTTCTATAAATCTTTTGAATTGGATATGATTATGGATTTAAATAACTGCTTATTTGGGGTCCCTTTAGGTCTATACCCATTTTCACACTTTTAATAGGC